ATGTACTCGAGGGTTCGGGCAAGAAGATGGTCGCGGAACTGAGCAATTGCAATATGCGATGCCCGAAAACCGCCTCCTCCTCCTACCCACCACTGCTACCTTCTGCGGCCACTGCTACTGCCAGCCGCTGCCACCACCACTACCACTACNNACTGCTACTACGACGACGACTACGACAACGACAGCGCCACGATGTTCAGCATCGAACCGACGGCAATCCTTTGCCTCCTAACCCACACAGAAACTCTTGTAGACAGATTGTAGGGATCGTCACATGTGGGGAAGGTCTGGCAAGCATTGTACAAGTACGCGTGCGATCTCGGTAGTTGCTTCTGCTCTGCGACGACGACGGCCGAGAGTCTTCCGCCATCCTCCCAAAGGGGCGGGACCAGCAGCGGCTTGCGAGAAGGAACTGGTATCTGCTTTCGTTCTTGTGGCATTCTCTTCATATATCTTCATATCTTGTATTACATGACTCTGGTGGAATCGTGGTGTTGCCCGACCATCTTTGGGCCTGCAGTCACATATGCGGTCATATGCGAGCCAAAACTCCATGTGAATTCTCATGCCCGCTTCAGTAGGACGAGTGGTGGCTACCACTTGGCTACCTTGCAGCCTAACACTCACATGCGAAGATCGCGGATGCATCAGCGGGGTTCTTTTTGCCCAGCGACGACTCTCTCGGCTATGCGCTGGCTTTAGCCATGAGCTCACGATAGGTGCAATACATCTTCCGCGACTTTGCTATCCTCACCAAGCCAAACACGGCAAATCACCCATGCTTGGTTCCGTGAGTTTAATTAAGAAAGCCTCGAGTGGGTGTCCAGCTAAGATCACGAATTTCACGAGTTCGCCTACCGCCTTGATCGAACTCACAACTCCCCACCAAGCACTTTACACTCCCGACTCAAGCTCCGCGTGCCCCTTTGGTTAATTGTTTCGGATAACTTTCTCTCTCGAGAACTTGCGCCATGGGGCAACAAGGCCGTCAGCAGCACCGACGCGACGAGGAGCCTTTGGTAGTGGCCCGGAGGCAAGGACCAGGCTCCATTTATTTCTAGGTAGAACATAGTCAGCTTGCGGAACCGCGAGACGTGACTCTGCTCCGTGAGCCAAATACACTCCTGATGGCATTTCAAGACCTTTGAGCCGTGGGCCCGGTTGCCAGAATGGGCTGCTGGCGCCAGGACTCGAGAAGCTCCTGCTGTGGCAGTAGGCAGCTGTTGTGGTCATCGTGGAAGGAGCAGCAGCAGTAGTCGTTGCGGGTGTAACCCTACCATTACCATCAACCTCCAGTTCCCTGCAAACCCTGTGCCGGCAACTCTGCTGTATTGTCTAACGATAGTTCTGATAGAAGCTCAGTCTGCGCAAATCCCAAGCCTTGAAAGCTTGAGGACATCTGACATGGCTGAGACTTTGGACTTTCAAACCGACTCGTGGGATGAGGTCTCTGTGCCGCCCTCGATGAGCTTGAGGTTTAGGGTCTTCACGATCTTATTGCCGCAAGGGCCCCACACGCATCTTCTCGTCACCTCGCCCTTCCAGCACCTGCGCCAAGCTTGGGACCAAACCTCTCCATCGCCTACATCATAGACATACATAACATAACATTACATAACTATGCATAGCAATTCTTAACCCTGGTTGGGATGTTTGATACCCCAAACTAGTCCAGTGCGTTTCTTCAGTGCAGTGGACAAGACGACAAGTCAGCCGCAAAAGCCTCTACATACGGAGGCTGCTCGGATGCCTAGGACCGTTGACTGTGATGGAAACATGTCCAGAGCCCAGACCTTCCAGTTTTGGAGAAGTTCGAGACCCCCGAGACCCCAATAATGCGAGCATCCCGTTTATGAAGCCTTTTCTCTGCATCCAGGTCTGAACGGGGCACCGTGCAAGCTCTTAAACGCCTCCTGGAATCTCCTGAAAGTTTCAACGGCCCCCCGACATCTGAGACCCTGAATTCTGACCTCGGGGAGCGACGCCAAGGAGGAGCCAACCACGGCGCTCAGTATACCTTGAGCCAGGAGGGAGACGGAGAGAGGATTCCTCCCATTTTCACATACTTGATCCAGGAGCCGTGGATTCGATGTGGTGACGCGGCGCCAGGTCTCAGACTGACTCGCTTCCAAACTGTAATATTGACTATATTCAGCTGCTGTATGCTGCTGTGACTATGGCAGGGCTACTGCTGGGCTATGGGTCCAGGCTGGGATGTCACGCAGGACGTAGGATTGCTAAGGCCTGCCAACAGTCAAGGCACTCCAAGGCGCGCCGAAGAGGGAGGATGCCAGCAGGAAAGGCCCAAACGGAACCTCGACTGCCTTTGTAGCGCATGGAAGAGAACAGGAAGTCTGGGCCACTTCTGCCTGTACATCCTACCCTTACATTGACATCAACAACTGCCAAGGACCAGGGGGAAACAAACACACACACACACACACGGACGGACGGACGGACGGGGACGGGTACAGCTGCAGTGCATGATGCCAAGCCGCTGCCGCATGCAACAAACCAACAAATGGGACTGATTGCCAGGCTGCTGCAAGCCCCATAGCCTTCGCAGTTGTGGGTATAGGCGCAAATCGCACCATGCCTCATCTCAGCTACGAAGTGCATGCCGTCGTCACATCGGACATGGGCATCAGTACTGTAACAGCCCTGAAGCGAAGCCATGTGAAGGCATTGCAGCTGCATGGGGTTTCCTTAGCGGCCAATGAGACCTTGAATTGTCTGGCTAAGTGTCTCGAGGATTCGGGGAAATCCCAGGGGCCACCAGCTGCTTTCAAGTTACAGGTAACGGTGAACGGTTCGGTCTTCACCGCCTCACCAGTTACAGATCCCGCGATCTTCCCGAGCTTGCAGCATGCCACGCTCGTTAAAATCACCCGGCCACCCTTTCAACACCGCTCCAACTGTTCAGCCCACATCCGGCTTAGAAATCTTCCGGTGGCCACTGCCCTAGCAGATACGTGACCACTCCAACATACAGACGCGAAACTAGAGTTAGAATTCCAGCAGTGCATCCATCACCCCTTCGGTTACGGATTACGATCCGCACTTAAGTCGAACCTGGGCCACAGCCTTGAAGACTGCAAATTTCGCCACAATGTTCTCTTTGACATACCTGGGGCTCTCTCTGGAGTGTTGCATGGACGGAATCCCGATCAATACTGGAGACTGGAGCCAACTCGTGACCTACGACTAATGTGGCAAGCCGTTTTCCAGGCCATGGTGCTGTCGAAGCAGCGTACGGCCAAGAAGAAATCCTACAGCACCTCATGGGCACTTTTGGGTGCTTCAGGCTGATTAAGTCGGAGATCCTTGCGCTGTTGCTGTTGATGCTCATGACATCAGTGGTGGTGGCAGTCGTAGCAGGAGCAGCAGGAGTAGGGTAGCACTCGTTGGTCGTCGTCGTAGTCGCTGCAAAAGAAGAAGTAGTAGTAGTAGTAGTAGTAGTAGTAGTAGGCATAGGCGTAGGCGTAGGCGTAGGCGTAGTAGCAGTAGTAGTAGTAGTAGTAGCAGCAGCAGCAGCAGTAGTAGTAGTAGT